TTAAAAGCACAGCATAAACAGCAAGTTGCTAACAATAGACAAGGAGATGTCTGCTGGGTAGGGGTGGGATGTTTCAACAAACAAACTCACCCAAATTTATTTAAATGAGAAGCTAAGAAGTCAGAACAAATGCCAGAGACTTAGTCCTCAATGTACTCCATTATATTACAATTAAAATTGTAGCCACTCCTCTTTTTGCCCAATCGTAGAGCATACTTTCAGACAACTTCATATTCTGAAGGTTTTGGACAAAAAGTTGTCTGTCTCTATGCCTTGCAAAGAAGGAAATGTTAGGGAAGTTGAGGTTTATTGATACAGTGAGTGAAGAATTCTCAGCATTAACTCCTATCTCCATCTGACTTAACGTAGTGTAAAGCCAAATCTATTTAGCAATTTACTAACAGTAAGAGCCAAGAAAGATTTAGCAACTGAAGCTCAACATACACTGAACTAAAATCACAGTTGTCAAAACGCAACGGAAAGTGTCACATTTATCTTTGCTGTCAGAATGGGATGAGAGAAATGGAGGACGTGTCTGTTCTGACATACATCTGCACATCTAAAATCCTTTTGGATCTTTATCATTTCTGGACACATGGCGCTCTGCTGAGATTAACATCTTTTATTTAGAAGTCAGTACCACATCTTGCTAGAGTTAAGAAGTACAAGCTATGTCACCTCAAGGATGAACAGTTGTGAATACTGTAAATGGAGTTGCACTAATTTCAGCTGCTGCAAAGTTTGGCAAGCCCTCTCCTTAATGTACTTTCTGCAACTGTGTTCTTCAGATTACGTACAATTCAAAACCTCATTTCTACATCTATGACATCCTGTATTATTGAAAACTTGTCTGGAGGAAATCCAAATAACACCATTATTTAAATGGCAACTAGATATTTAAGGTCATCATTATAAAACAATACCAGGGCAGTCTTCAGACAAAGTACTTAGATATTTCTTACATGCGAGACATCGAACAGTATTTCTGAGATTGTCTAAAGAAGATCATTCTATAGGGACATACCTGAATTTAACTGAATACAAATATAAACAGTCACTATTTTTAACTGAAGTATGCAGTAATGATAAATTATTTACTATAGATAGAAAGGAACTGAAGACAGCCTGCTGCGGACTCACTTCAAATTAAGATATGATGGGCAACCCAGTAAAGCTGAAGCCAAACCAAAATTATAGGGAGCTTTTTTTTTTTTTTCCCCTCCCACATTTAACTCCACATTACAATAAAGTGCTCTTATGTACACATAGACGGGTCTCATCTGCCCCTATACATATGCCGCTGAATACAGAAATTCTGAACAGGACCATCACAAACACAGAAAAAGCTTCTTTTATTTTACTTACCTTGCATAGAAATGAAAATAAAACACGGCAAATTTAAGACCAAAAGATTACAAGTGCAAGTTTAAGATGGATCTTAATAAAGAGTGTTGCTGCATTACAGAAGCATAACATTTGTACATCAGCTTATAGAATTCTTAAAATACATATTAAAATTGTCATCCTGATAAAAATTGCTGTGAATTCATCAACTGTGCTTTTACTTGTGCTAGGTACCAGAGTCTCTGTAAATTAAACTCCAGTCTTTTCCATTCAAAACAACCAACTTCTTGTCATTTACAGAAACTTCTACATTAAATTCTACCAGCAAAATGAACCCTAGCCTGCAACACTTTTATAGCAAGAACTGGTAGTCACTTGGACCTCATCCACCTCAAGTTGAAAATTTAACTTTTAAATGCAATAGCGTCCTGTCTGTTTCACAGATTAACTTATGAATTTTAGGCACACTAACCTTGAATTTTGTAGAATACACTCTAGAAGACACATTAGGAGCATGGAAAATAACAGAGAAGAGTTACTCTTCTGACCGTAATTAAATCATAATTGAATGTGTTTACATTAAAGATAACAGTTCTCTAAGTTCTGAAAGTTAATTTTCATTTTTTCTGTGAAAAAAACTAGGAACAACAAATTAATTTTAAGCTCTTGCACAGCAATTTGATTTCATCAAGTTCATCTTCCAAGGTCAGAGTACAGTTTGACTAGGGTAATGTGTAATAGAAGGTAACTCCCAGAAAACAAAAAGCATTGCCAAGAATCCAGTCATTTTATCAAGACAATGTTGATGTATTTCATTTCCAGCTGTCCTTACAAGAAAAACTTGTCAGTTTTACTCTGTGTAAATGTAACAGATAAAGCACATCTATATAAGATGAGAAAGCTCTCCCCTCTGTGAATTAGACATCCAGAACAAAAGTCTTCTTACTCTAAATAGCTGTTTCAGGTTTATGTGAGCTAGCATGGATGCCTCTAAATCACTAGCTGCCCACCACACTACAAGTACACTAGAAAAGTCTATTTCTCTGACACTTCAGAAAACGCACATCACTGCTGCCGAATAAATTGCATTTACTTTTATGATCTATAAGATAGCAAATTGGTACTTGTGTATTTGCACGTTTTGTAACCTATACACACCAGTATGAGCCTCTTCCTTATACACAGAAACTCAGTGAAAGTCGGGAATTAAGTACAGGGATGCCATTAGAAATTGGGCGCCTTCATACTAAAACCAGAGAAGTAGTTTTGGTACAGAAGCAGTCAATCTGGCATTCCTTCTTTTCTACACGGAGCTTCCATCAGTCATCAGAACCATCTACCTGGCTGATTCAGCTAAATATACAAAACATGAAAAGTGTACGTACAAACAGTTCAATGCAATACTCCTTAAGATAAACTACTCCCAAATCAGCTACAAAGGCGTGTTACAAGCTAGATGCCAAGTCTGAGGGAGAAATGATACATTGGTTACGTAGCGATTTAGTAATTCACGCAATTATACTAGTAGTTGTACAACTAGTCAAATTGATCTTTGCACCTCCTTCTACTGAAAACAACCACTATGAAAAAATGTACATTACTAAATCCCTTCTTTCCTGAAAAAAATCTAACACAGTTGTCAGTACATTTGAAGTTATCCTGCTTCTACCCCTCTCCTTGAAATCCACAGCTGAACAATGGGTCATTTGAGACAGTAGTTCAAAAGAATGCTCAGCTTGAAATAATTAACAAAAAAGTTTGGACAGTTTCAAGTATTACAGACACCACAAAGTTTTCCTAGTGAACACTTATTAGAATTTAAAAAAAAAACAATCCACATCTTTTCACCTTATTAGAAATTCACACCTATGAAGTAACTGAATCTTTTCCATAAAAACAAAAAAACTTGTCAAATACAGAAGTTATTTCTGATTGTAGCAAAGATAATAAAATATTTTTTACTTTTGAAAGCATCATCAATCCTCACCTTCCACAATCATTTGAGCTTAAGCACCACTGAGGACAAAAGTGACATAGTTTTCACACCACAACAACAGTATTTTTCAACAGCAATCTACAAAATCTACAATGCTGTATATTTATATAAAACTGCAGTAAAATTTCTTTCTGAACTGAACTGTGAGGGTTGTTTCCTACAGACTTCACATGAAACCATACAGTTATGACATTCTTGAAAATGGGGAATCTTTTTTTTTAACTGCATTAATCTTTTACAAATGTTTAGAAAGAAATGTTTACACGTAAGTAGCTTACTAGATTTAGGAAGGAAAGCTGAGAATTGAAAAGGGAAAAGAGAAACAGTACAATTTAGAGCTCGGGTGATTCTACTCATCCACAAATTCAAGAATAATAGTTTACAGATCATACAATTGGTTAATGGCATCCATTAATATAGCAGACCTGAAATAGTGGATAAAGAGAAGCCACAATTACTACAAGAAAAAAAACAAAGACTGATTTTTGCCTGCAGCACATGATTTAACACAGGGAGCTGCAAAGGTTGAAAACATCTCGTTTCTGATTTCCATCATACCATTGTAATACAACTAGATTAACATGTATTACTTTTTAGTTTCTATCCCTGAGTAATTGCCAGTACCAATTACCATACCAAGAGACATATAGTGATTACATTATAATGAGAGCAGTGGAAACAGAAGGGTTTAAAACTACTTTTTTAAAGTGTATAAACAGGAACTACAACATTTAAGGATATGTAAACATTTGCAAAAATAGCAAATATTCTTGGAATAACATATGTAAATATAACATCATGACACACTTGGGACAACAACCAACCACGCTAGAAAGTGTAAGGCTGTCAACAGTTAACCGACACCTGAAAGCACCCTCTGCTTTGCCTACAATCAAATGCTTTTCAAAGTGTTCAAAGTTCAGTTGTATTCTCTTTAACTAGAATGGATAAAACACGGGAAATTCTGTAGACACCAATCACCTTTCCAAACTACACACTGCTGCCCTACATTAACACATTTAGCATTACAGGCTGTGTATTTGTACACTGCACCCTCCAAAAAATGGTAATTGGTAACTCCTAGCAAGACAAAAAAAAAATAAAATAAAATCCTAACTCTCTGAAAGGAATTGTATGAGTTAAACAACATACTCAGACTTCTACACAGCAATGACAACTCGGCATGTACTCACAAGGCAGCAGCCTTAAACTTTTCAAGTCTTTAAATCAAAGTCCATAACGGTATCAGAATGGCCTGCTTTCTTTCCCAGAACGGCCTGTTTGTAATTCTTAATCACGTGAACGAATCAGGCAGTTAGAAACAACATTGAAAAAATACTAGTGAGAGAAGATAAACCATCAAGTTTTATTAAACAAAAGAATGTAGGTAAGACTTCACACTCAAGCTAAACCAAAGAAATGCCAGAAACTAGGAAAGCATACTGGAGGGGAAAGGTTTGATATTCCCCGCTCGCCTTGCTTTTATATCTTTCTCAAAGTGAGCAAGCACCAACAGATACTTCAGGAAAGTACTAAGCTAGATTGATCTTCCCCTAACATAACCTGACTCTTCAGCAAATTAAATATGCAAAAAGCCAACAGAAAACCACAAAGAATACAAAAATTATCGAAAGATACCTTCCTTTCAAAATGTCCATACCTGTGGAAGTGCAGTATTGAGCTGTCTCTGCAAGGAATCCCTCTCATGACCAACTTCATGCAGCTTGCCCTGGGTCAATGCTAAGGTCTCCTGAGTTTCTCTTAGTGTTTCCAGAAGGCGATCCCTTTCTTCCAACATGGATACCATTAATTGCTCAAAATGGGAATCAGCATCTGACTGTAACGGGGAACCTGAACCATGGCCTCCATTTCCCCCAGAGGGAATCTCTGCCTCACTGATGGTTGGCATCACCTCACACATCATCTTGAAACAAAATAAGACAAAACAAAGACCATAAATTTAAGTCAAACAAATCTAAACAGGATAAGCAAAGGAACTTTGGATACTACCCATAATACCAACTCAGCTTTCCCAATGATAGCATCAGCAAAGGTTGCCAACACCTTAGTGTTTGCCACTATTTCATTAAGACTGCAGGAGAAAAGGTATACAATCAATTTAATCAGGGCATCACTTCATAATGAGAATCTTGTGACTTCTTGCAAGACCAGATTTTTTACAGCTACGTTTCAAACTGTGATCTCACTTTAATGGATTTATGTTTTTGTTAAGAGTAAACTGCTGCTGAGATCTTTAAAAAAACAAAGATAAGGCATGCAGCACACCACCAGAAATTATACATTTAAACCCGTAGCTGATTACACTGCATATTTTGAGAATTATTATCTGCTTCTTCCAACGCTTGAAACATACAAAGATAGTATCTAAAAAAAGTACTTTGAGCTTACGCTGGCTGTAGAAAGTCTATGGTAAAATGGATGCATGTAAATTAGTGGTAAATGCAAAAAGTCCAATTCAGGAGAAACACATGTAAAGGAAGATAAAAAGCAAAAAATTCATTACGAAGTGGTAGCAGCTGTCACTGTGGATAATAAAAGTAAAGGTAAGCAAAAACAATTCAAGGCAGAGTATGAATACAATTAACAATGCAAATGTAAATACTGTACTACTGTTAAACTGGAATAACTTTTAAGAGACCCTTACAAGAGGCTAAGGCATCACGCTTTTTAAAAAGCGTGCAAAAAAAATCACTAATATAATTACTGTATGCTGTCTGTCACTGAGCCATTAAGGCTTCTAAAGTTCTTCAGACAGCCTCTGTCAACATCACAAACCTACAAGAAGCTAAGGCAAATCAGGAAAAATAGTTCCCTCAGCCTCTCAGGTACCACACAGTTTGTTCTCAGCCTTAAGTTTCACACTCATATCTGAACGTTGTAAAGAACAATTAAACTTATTCTGAGCCTTACAGTGGGACCTCTCAATCCCTTGAAAGACTTGGAACAGCCTGAAGTGATTTATAACATTTTCATGCATGATTACCATAAGCCCTGTATTTTTGACACCACTACGTTATTTACCTTGCTCAATAAAATAAGAAGGCTTGGAAAACAGGCCCCAGGCTTCCTGCAGTACCAGTTCTTCTCTGTTTTTAGTAGTTTTTTGTTAACCCCAAAAACCTTTTGGATTGCAAAGCATCCATTCAGCTCTAGTCCAATGTCTATTTAATTGAAACACCCCGCACACATAAAAACAAGTAAACCCACTGAGAAAACAGCAGATCCAGTAAAAAGCAGCAGCAGCTTCAGCTCACTAGCCAAGTCCCCAGAACAGAAGAATGTGAAAATAAACTGTCTCAGCTTCCCATCCCTCTACTACTGGCCCGCAGGTCCTGCAATAGCTGGGATGGGGGAATCATGTGCTGAGAAAAAAAAAAAAAACGCAGTCCGATGCAGTGGTGCAACAAGCTTCAATAGTTCATCGCTTATAAATTCCACTCAGGTCACAATCGCATTATTAAAGGGAGTATGGACAGCATGGGAAAACGGCACGAGCTTTCTCGTAAAGGATTTGGAAAAGCCTCCCTTCTTTTCTCTTCTCTTAATTCCAGCGGGAGGCTCTCCTTCCAGTTTCCTGGGTCTTAGTTCAAACATTTATAATCCCAAGAGCGAGGCGCTGGTATCGCTTTGGAAGGCGAGGAGAAGGGAGAAGTGTTGTTTCCTCTGCGTTAGCTCTTCACCCGCACTCGCCCCGGCCGGGTCCCACCGACGATGCCCCGGAACCGCAGATATCCAGCCGAGAGAGGTGAACCAAACC